CACTATCCTCCAAAAGGAAGGGTGAATTTGGCCGAGGGTCACATCGTACCTCTTACAAAAGGCAGCGATGACGGGGTCTAAAGGTCCGAACGTGAAAGGATAAGTGTAAACACTTAAGAACCCTTTGATGTGGGTAGTAATTGATTCATCAGGCGATGGGATTACTACGAGTTTATTATCCCAGTTGCATTCTTGTATGACTTTATCGAGAACTTTTTCGGTAATTGAACATTGATACCTTGACATATCACACCGACCCGATATCGGAGAAGGCTTTTAAATTTTAAAATCGCCTACAAACGAACACCCTACCGGAACGAATTTCTCAGGGCGGGGCTCTTCCACATCCTCGCCACCAGCAGGTCGAGATGAAGAAGCGGTCTCTTTTTGTGGAACAGTTTTAGACGTTTTTGCCATTTAAAATTTCGTGAACAAAGAACGGAAGTATTTGGTGTTTTAAGAAAAAGTTTGCAGTAAAACTCACAGATTTACAGGCAGAAAACTCAGACGAGACGAAAAGGAACTTAGAAAAATTGGAAGATTGAAGACGTAAAGTATGAATGATGGAAGGAAAGGCTATTTATAGATTGAAGCAATAACGGTTCAATATGAGAGGTGGCTGACCACCGTCTGACACATTAAATGCCTTGGTAAAATCGAACCGATGGGATAACTATCACATACGTCATAGTCGAGATCGATGTAAACATTAGTATATATCTGAACGAGCTGTTGGAAAATTATATCGTTTCTCGCCACATCCTTTTCCGAGAAATAAGGGGACTATCTGTGTATGGTCAGAACCGATTGAGTCAGTCGTATAGACTGATCAAGACGGCAATACTTCGATCGAAAGGTATCTACGTAAGGTCAGGTTGAGGTCCGAAGAAAGGGCCTTCAGGATTTGAGCTCCAAGTCCGATCAAGGATCAGTTCGGTATCATTATCGGGCCCATGACCAAATCGAACCACGAGGCAAAAGATTGTCGGAGATGCACAGACCGATCAACACCCACCCCGAATATCAAGACTCCGAGTCAGGATCAAGCTCGATTCAAGGCCAATGGTTCGACCCGATATCGAGTTCGAGTCAGTATCGAAGCTCACAAACAAGGCCGTTACAGCCGCACTAAGAGAGAGAATCGTGGCGGGAAGTAGGGAAAAGACAATACATAATGGGCTCTCCACTACGTATTTTTTATTGTTGTATATAAAGTAGGATCCCTCTACTATAAAAGGGGGATGGATTGTAAGCAGAGGGAGATTGGAACAAAAGATTTCTTCTCATATTGAAAGATATCCCCTTATGTTTATTTTCCTTTATCTTATTCGTTCTTTTTCTCACTATTCTCATTTTCATAGTTAAGAATACACGTATTTCTATTTCTCTATACGATTTGTATCAAATTATATCACATATCCTTAGAATCATACACAAATTTAACTCTATCCAATTTTTTGGGTAAACAACTTGTAACTCAACTACAAATATAATTTAAGGAGTAATTTTTTCTCAAGAGTTTCTTCAAATCAAGCAGATATGAATATTACACATTTCAAGCTCTGAAGGTGAGTTTCTTTTTCTTAAAAAATAATATCTGTATAATATTATAAAGTAGCCGTGTTATGTGTTACGATTTCGATACTTTCTAGATTGAAATTTTTGCTAGAAAACTAATTTTGGAAAGCAAGGAAATGTTTGTTTTGGTTATAGTGCTGATAATAGTATAACTACCGATGTACTGTGTCAATGATTGAACCTTTATCCAATGACAAATGTGATTATTTTTATCATTTATGATTCCTCTAGCGTTGAGTCTGTCTTTTGAGTAAGTACTCCAACTTGAGTCCTTGATTGTTATCTATATGATTTTGGTTCTTTCTCTTCCCTATTTAACGTACTTTGACAATAGCTGCTAAAAGTAAATTGAATGAGATAAATAAAAGAAGAGCAATTGCGGGAAGCGATCGAGAGAATGAACAAAAAACGAAATGAATGTGCTAGATGAACGAGTAATAATAGGAAAGAAGAGAAAAAGGAAAAGAAAAAATTAATAACATAAAAAAGTAATTCCAGAAAACATCAGTATGCTTGCTATCATAGACGAAGTCTGATAATATGCTAGAATTTCATATAATTGGATATATTTTACCCCTACTTTGATGTGTTTTTAGGTGTTTTGAATGTTGAAAGATGACAAATCGAGCTTAATTGTTGAAGTTTGTCATGTAGGAAGCCAAGAGTGAAGAATAAAGGTGATTTGAGAAAAAATGAAGCTAAAAGGCAATTTTTGAAGAAAAGAAAAATCGGACCAGGCAGTGAAGTAACTTTGAAAAGCACAGGGAAAGCACAGAAAAATCTGGAAAACACAACCAGGTCCTGTGCGAAGCACAACTATAGCACAAGGGCAAATTTGTATGCGTTTTATCTTGAGGGGCAACTTAGTCAATTGGCTTAGGGACGTGATATAAAAGTTTTCAATCCTAATTGAAGCCACACACTTGACCTAAGAAGGCAAGAAACACCATTGTTGAAGCAAAGTTGAGCCCGAAAGATCCTCAAGTTCATTCAAGAAGACGAATCGAAGAGTTTCTCTCTACTTTTCTATCTTTATTTCTATGAATATTGGTTTGATAATGGTTTATATATTTTTGAGTAGTGTTATGAGTAGCTAAACTCTTTAATCTAAGGTTTGATGGAACCTATTGGAAGATGATTTTCTATTGCGTTTAATATAGATTTGCCTTTGAATTTTCTCTACTTGTTCAACTATATTTTCATTGTTGTTAATTGAAGAGCTCTCAATTTACTGTGCCTATTTAATGTGTATATTGCTCGAGAGAGAGAGTATAAATTTAGATAGTTGTTGAACAATACCACTCCTAACGTAGTTGAGAGATCGATGCGGATGGTTTAAAGGCGGGATTAGAGATAACGAAACCTTGGTGCGATCGTAGTGAACGGTAAATTAGTGCCAGCTAGCATAGTTTGAGAGAATACGTCTAGTAAATTGTAGTAGTTTCTCGAGAGAGAGCTACGACAATCAAAGTACTCATGATTGGTAGAGAATAGTTAGGCAAATTTATAGAAAATATAGTGGAAAAGATTCCGATAATAGGGGAAATCATAACCTTAGACTCTTCCAAATCTTGTCTACAATATTTGCTTTGCTCATTATAAATTACTGTATTTTTAATTACTTTGATTTCGTTAGTAAACTCTCAAATGATTATATAATATTTCTGAAGGTTGATTACTTGAATTCATGTAAAACTATTGGTTGTAATTAACACGTTATTTTCCTATGGGATTCGACTCCGGACTTGTAAACCGGATTATATTTGCAATGACCGCTTAGTCCTCTTAGGAGGCATAGTTGGGCGTGATCAAATTTTGGCGTCGTTGCTGAGGAAAGTAACAGTGTTACTAATTACATCTATAAGAATTGTTAGGATTCTTAGTATAGTCAATTTTCTCCATTTTTATTCATTACATTGAAATTCTAATGTTTGTGGTCTGGTGTATTATAGGTGTATGCCTAGAAACTCTTCAAGAACTGGTGAATTATTTGAAGCATTACCGGATCCTGAGAAAACTTTCAAGGCATTAAATCGTGCAAACAAGAAGGACAAACAACAACATCACCCAAGAGAACAAATTGAACCGGACATGGGTGACGCTTTGGATAATCAAAACAATCGAAACAATGTGAATGACCCAAACAATCAGGGTGTGGCACCTCTTGTGCTAGAAGAAGCTTTGTATGATTGGGCACAACCCACCGTTGAAAATTTGGCAACTGCAATTGCAGTCCCTCAGATAAAAGCGGAGTCATTTCAAATCACAAACAACATGCTACATCTACTGCAGAACAAAGGACTATTCTCCGGGTCTTACATTGAAGATCCACAACAGCATCTGAAAAATTTCTGTCGATTTGCGTCATGCAAAGGCAACCAAATGTGACACCGGAAGCAATAAGACCGTTGTTGTTTCCATTCTCAATGACAGGAGAAGCCCAAACATGGCATAATTCTCTCCCCATAAATTCCATCACAACTTGGGAGGAATTAGTCAAGTAGTTTTTGAATAAGTTCTACCCACCCAATAAGACTGCCAAGCAGGTTGATGAGATATTGAGCTTCAGCTAGAAACCATCCAAAACATTACAAGAAACGTGGGAGAGATTCAAAGGTATGCTGGTTAAGTGTCCACATCATTGCATTCCAGATCAGATGTTGAGACAACGGTTTTACATGGGATTGGCGGACAACTTGAAGGACAATGTTGATACTTCAGCAGGTGGAGCATTATTAAGCAAGTCATTTAGAGAGTGTAAGGTCCTGCTAGATAAAATGGATCAAAACTCAAGATGGATGACAAGAGACTCCACAATCACCCATATAGTTCACTCAGTAGCATTGGACCCGAACAATTCCATAGCCGAAAATATGGCCACTCTGATGACGCAAATGAGTATCCTTACCAAGAAGATTGATGAATCAGGCCAGAAGCATGTACACATAACTGACACGACTAATGGGGGATTATGTACACCATGCATTAACCAACCATACGTGTATTCGTGGAGTGGTGAAAGTGAGAACCAGAACTATCAAGAGAACATGAACTATGTGAGCAACTACGGAGGTCAGAGACAAGGTGGTCAGAATTGGGGGCAGCAAAATCAGCAATATAGACTAGCACAACAACAGTACAATAACACCAACAATCCTGGAGCTATGCGACCACAGGGTCAAGTATTACCTTACGAAAGGCAACAAGGATACAACCAACAAAATCAGCAGCTAACTTATCAACAACCTCAACAACAGCAAATAGTGAGGCATTATGATGGGTTATCTGAAATTAAAGGAATGTTGCAACAACTCATTGGGGCCAGCGGGAAAATGGAAGAAAAGGTCCACCAAATGTAAGAAAAGGTAGTGTCACATGACTCGGCTATCAAGAGCATTGAGATTCAACTATGGCAATTATCCATGGCCCTTAACAATCGTCTTCAAGGGACGTTACCCACGGACACACATGTCAATACGAAAGAGCAAGGCCCAAAGCCTCTTATGGTGGTGAGCTCGAGAAATGGTAGAGATCTTGATTTAGAGCAAGAAATTGCTCGTGAGAGCCGGTTAACTGAAATACTTGTGTCAGTGCCAATTGAGTTAGATGAGTCAACTGGGATAACAGAAGTAAGAGTGCAACCAGCCCAAGAGGAAATAAACAAGGAAAAATTTATTGCGGAGGAGATTGAGAAAGTGCAAGAGAAGGTTTTAGAAAAAGTTCCTGAGCAGGATCTAACTCAAGCTACAGGAAAGAAGCGACCTCCAACACCCTTCTCGCAGAGGTTGGCTAAATATCAGAAGGATGCGCAGTATAAAAAATTTATGAAAATGCTGAAGCAAATTCAGGTAAACATTCCTCTAATCGATGCTTTGAGGGAGATGCCTGGTTATGAAAAAATGATGAAAGACTTGATGTATCGTAAGTTCGACTTCCAAGACGTGGCAACTATCACGTTGACACAGACTTGTAGTGCTGTTGTGTCAAGACCTATAGCTGAGAAGTTATCCGACCCTGGAAGCTTCATAATTCCATACACCATAGGTAGCCATACATTTGCCAAAGCATTGCGTGATTTGGGAGCAAGTATAAATCTGATGTCATTGTCTATCTATAAAAAGTTAGGCATTGAAAGAGCAAGGCCCACATCCATGTTACTGCAACTAGCTGACCGAACGGTGAAAAGGCCATCGAGTATACTTGACGATGTACTTGTGCAAGTTGGAAAATTCGTGTTTCCAGCATATTTTGTCATTCTGGACTGCGAGGTTGATGAGGAGATTCCCATAATTTTGTGAAGGTCGTTCTTGGCCACAGGGAGAGCTCTGATTGATTGTGAAATGGGAGAGCTGAAGATGAGGCTGAATAATAAAGAAATAACATTTAATGTGCAAAAGTCTATGTGGAGACCCAATGAGTTTGCAAATTGCTCTTTGTTAGACATGGTGGATGTAATCATGGAGGAAGATGATGAGGCACTTAATGCAAAAGACCCTCTAACAGCCTGCTTTATGAACTTAGAAGAAGTAAATGGTGAGGACTTGGTGGAATGGGTGTTGGCTCTTCAAGGGAAAGGGTACTGGAAAAGAGAGCTCGAATTCGAGCCTTTACACTTTGAAGAAAGAAAGAACCCTCCAGCCAAGCCATCGATCGAAGCACCACCACAATTGGAGCTGAAACCGCTACCATCTCACCTCAAGTATGCTTTCTTGGGACCTAATTCGACTTTACCTGTTATTATCTTATCTGGTTTGTTAGATGTGTAGGTAGAAAAACTTTTGCAGGTGTTGAAAGAGTGCAAGAATGCAATTGGTTGGATCATTGTAGATAATAAGGGTATCAACCCACCCTTCTGTATGCATAAAATTCTATTGGAAGATGAGCACAAACCCTCCAGAGAACATCAAAGAAGGTTAAACCCTAACATGAAGGAAATAGTAAAGAAGGAAGTGATTAAGTGGTTAGATGCAGGAATTATTTTTCCCATCTCAGATAGCAACTAGGTTAGCCCAGTTCAGTGTGTGCCAAAGAAAGCTGGGATGATTGTTATACAAAATGAGAATAATGAATTAATCTCCACAAGTATAGTTACGGGATGGCGAATTTGCATGGACTACAGAAGATTGAACAAGGCCACCCGAAAAGATCAATTCCCTTTGCCGTTCATTGATCAGATGCTAGATAGCTTGGCTGGGAGGTCCCATTTTTTATTCTTGGATGGATACTCGGGGTACAATCAGATATTAATTGCCCTGGAGGATAGAGAGAAAATATCATTCACTTGTCCATATGACAATTACGCTTTTCGGAGAATGTCGTTTGGCCTATGCAATGCACCCACCACATTCCAAAGGTGCATGATGGTCATCTTCACAGATATGGTAGAGGACATAATGGAAGTTTTCATGGATGATTTCTCAGTGGTGGGAAATGCTTTTGATGATTGGCTTAGAAATCTGAAAAGAGTACTGCAGAGATGTGTGGATACTAATCTGGTGCTAAACTGGGAAAATGCCATTTTATGGTACACGAAAGGTATAGTCTTGGGACACCTAGTGTCAAGTAAGGACATTGAAGTGGACCATGCCAAGATTGATGTAATAGAGAAGCTGCCACCACCCACTTCCGTCAAGGCAATAAGAAGTTTCCTTGGTCTAACGACCCGACTGGTCGTTTTGAGCATTTATGCTCCTTTCAACTATTTGAAGTCTTGAATAACTTCCTACGAGGTATTATAACTTGTGGGAATTATCGATTTTGATTTTAAGGTATTTCGGAGTTAGCTAGGAAGAATAAATTTCATGTTGGAAGTTTAAGTTGAAATAGTTGACCGGATGTGGACTTATGTATAAACGACCTCGTATTTGAATTTTGATGATTTCAATAGCTCTGTATGGTAATTTTGGACTTAGGAGTGTGTTCGAAAAATTATTTGGAAGCTCGTAGCTAAATTAAGCCTGAAATGGCTAAAATAGAAAGTTAAGTTTGGAAGTTTGACCGGGGAGTTGACTTTTTGATATTAGGGCCGGAATCCGATTCTGAAAATTTAAATACCTCCATTATATCATTTATGACCTGTGTGCAAAATTTGAGGTCAATCGGACTTGATTTGATGTGTTTCGGCACAAGATATAGAATTTGAAAGTTCAAAGTTCATAGATTTTCATTTGAGGTGCGATTCGACGTGTTGATATTGTTTGATGTGATTTAAGGCCTCGAGTAGGTCTTTGTTATGTTATGGAATTTGTTGGTATATTTGAACGGGATCCCGAGTGGCTCGGGTGAGTTTCGGGATGAGTTTTGAGCGAGTACAGGCTTTTCGGCACTCTAATGATGCTCTGGGGGTCTTTTGAAGTGCGGACCGCATATTTTGGGATTGCTGAGGCAAAAGGGAAGTGCGGACCTCAAGGGAATTGTGCGAACCGTACAATTTTGTGTGCGGCCGCACTCAAGAACTCTCAGATTCGCTGGTCCGACTTCGAAAGCTTATAACTTTTGATTTACGAGGAATTTTGAGATGATTCAAATATGAAAGTTGTAGTCGTTCGTGTCTAGTTTCCAGAAAAGTAAATATGTCATCATCTGGATATCTGTAGAGAAAGTTATGGCCAAAATACTAAAGTCTGGCAGAGCAGTCACCAAGAGAGTGCAGCCGCACAATTTTTGTGCGACAGCAGGAGCTGGGATTTGCGACCGCAGGAGCTGGGATGTGCGGCCACACTTGGAATTGTGCGCACCGCACATGGTGAGTTCAGATAATGTACTATATAATCGAGGCTTAGGTTATTATTTCAGTTTTGGACCTTGGGAGCTCGGTTTGAGACGATATTTCATGGGTGTTTTAAGAAATTCATCGGAGTAAGTGATTCTAACTCAGAATTGATTAACATACATGAATATATCGTTGTTTTCATCATGTAATCAGTATTTTGAGATGAAAATTTGGGGAAAATTGTAGAAATTTTATAAAATAAATTTTTGGAATTTGAACACCGATTCGGAGTCGGATTTGAGTGAAATTAGTATGGTTAAACTCATAATTATCATTAATTGAAGTGCTCTCAATTTACTGTGCCTATTTAGTGTGTATATTGCTCGAGAGAGAGCACACATTTAGGTAGTTGTTGAACAACAACACTCCTAACGTAGTTTAGAGATCGATGCGGAGAGTTTAAAGGCGGGATTAGAGATAACGAAGCCTTGGTGCGATCGTAGTGAGCGGCAAATTAGTGCCACCTAGCGTAGTTCGAGAGAATACGTCTAGTAAATTGTAGTAGTTGCGAGAGAGAGAGTTACGACAATCAAAGTACTCATGATTGGTAGAGAATAGTTAGGCAAATTCATAAAAACATAGTGGAAAAGATTCCGATAATAGGGGAAATCATAACCTTAGACTCTTCCAAATCTTATCTACAATATTTGCTTTGCTCATTATAAATTAGTGCATTTTTAATTACTTTAATTTTAGTTAGTAAACTCTCAAATGGTTATATAATATTTCTGAAGGTTGATTACTTGAATTCGTGTAAAATTATTGGTTGTAATTAACATGTTATTTTCCTGTGGGATTCGACTTCGGATTTGTAAACCAGATTATATTTGCAACGATCGCTTAGTCTCTTAGGAGGCATAATTGAGCGTGATCAAAGTCCCTCTAATCTCTTTCTTTTTTATTAAGCCATGACCTCCATTAATCTCTTCTAGAACTACTATTTTTCTATCTCTTTCCTAAAATCCTCCTTTCTTGCTTCCATTTTTCCTATCCTAAATTTGGTGTTGGTCATAATTAAGAGTGGCAAACGGGCGGTTCGAGTTGGATATGGTTCAGGTCGGAAACGTGTAATGAAAAAACAGATAGATTATCCGACCCAATCCATATTTAATACTGATAAAAAATAGGTTAACCGGCGGATAATATGGGACCCATATTATCCATAACTTTTTGAATATGATCACTTTTGGGAGAACTCCTAGTCTCCCAAACTTGAGGAACCCCCAATTTGAGGCTTTACAAATGTAAAAGTTAAACTCATTGGTTATCCATTGGTTACCTATTGGTTATCCATTTTCTAAATGGATAATATGGTTATTATCAATATTTGACCCGTTTTTAAAAAGTTTATTATCCAACTTATTTTTTAGTGGATAATATGGGTGATTAACTGTTTTCTTTTAACCATTTTGCCACGAATAATCATAATATGGTTGGCAGAAGAAAAGCCAAGAAAGAAAATTATGGTTTCAATCAATTTGGAAACGGGAACGTGAAGCCTCTCACTATATGGTATATTTGTTTAGTTATAATATTTTTTATTGCTTAGTGGCTAAAATATGACGTAAAAGTTGTAGAAAGTTTCTGAAATGCTGTGAAGTTACTATTTTTTATTTTGGAATGATGTGAATTAAATTACTATTTTTTATTTTTGAAGTGTATCTTTTAATCAATTCATTAAATGTGCTGCTTAATAGTTGTTGTACTTGGAAATTGGCATTCGATTTCTAAATGATGAAAACAATACGAGCAAGATTTTTGTAAAATTCATTTAGCAACCTTTAGCTTCCCTTAATTTTTTTCGTCTCTTAAACATCCACGGAAACACAATAAGTAACTGAAAAAATGACCAAAGCAGCAAGTACTTTCCTCTTCGTGTTGCAGGAGAGTTTAAATGCAATCGATTTAATATCCTATTCCAATCTCTAATAAAATTTATAATTAGAACTATTATGAATTATATAACTGATTCTGCTCTTTGATAAGTTTTCCCTATAAATTGAGTATTTAACTTCACCTCTCAAATTGAGAGAACTGCTCTTTGAGAACTCTTTAATTATGAAACTAAAAAAGAAGTTGCCAATGCTTATTTGCTTTGATTTGCTTTTCTGTCTGAGTTTTTCGTATGTAATTTTGGTTTTGCATTCAACTTTTATTTTCTTTATATCAGCTAAATAGTAGAAAGAATTGTTTAACCGTGCGAAGTGCGGGTTAATTTAACTAGTATTAATAATAATTGAGCTCTCCACCCATCTTGCTACGACTTTGTTCGAGTAATTTACAACGAGCAACTATTTTTAATTCATCTTTCCGAATTTGATTTCCATTTGATGATTTGTTTTTTATGAAGTTGAGTTTTGCATTTCGCAAATTTAGATTGTCAAATGCAATAGCGTGCAGTTGCATTCAATGTCTGATCCCTTGAGAAAAAATTATCGAAATAACTATATGAGTTTCAGCTAAATGCGCAAATATAAATAATGAATGTTACCTTAATTAGAATTTAATCTTTACTTTTAAACTTAT